GCCCTCACAAACCTGCGCTCCACCCTATCTCCCATCACCCCTGCTCTCGGAAATACATATCAACAGACAGCTCTCTCTTCCTCACCTCTGCATGGAGCTCAGGCTGATCCTCGACCCGCCCTTGCTCACTCGTCTAGACCCCTCTCAGCTACCCACTGACCCTCTGGGATGGGGGTCTCTTCTGCCCAAGGGCCCTCGCGCATCCTACGAAGGTGTGTCAAGTCCCACTGGTCAGAACCGGAATGGGGCACAGGACTGGGCTCAGCAGGTACTGCTGGAGTGCTGGCAGAGCCCAGCGGAAATCTGCAAATACCCACACTGTCTTTGGAGCCTCCCCTGCTTGGGGGAGACCAGGTCTTCCTGGCCCCAGGAAGTGGGCAGACAGAGAGGAAGAGGCCAGTGGGATGGGCCACCGCTGGCAGGGGGGGAGCAGCAGGCCATATTCAGATTGGAGGATCTGTAACTAGCTCACCGTCACCCACGTCGGCTCATATACTGTGTCCCCTTGGTGGGGGTCACAGTGCTCAGGTGGGTTTGCATCAGGGACAGACATGGGTAAAGGCTGTGGTGAAGTCAAGCAGGAGATGAGCTCCCACCAGGTGAGCCCAGCCTGATCTGCCCCCACCAGGGTAGGACGTGGGGAGGAGGGGGCCCTCTCCTTGGTGCACCGCCCTAAACCCAGTCCTGTCTCCCATAGACTTCTCTGGACTTGCCTCAGTTTGTCCATCTGCAAAGAGGAGCCAGGTTCCCAGGGCTCCATCACAAGGCAAACACCTGGATGTGGATCTCTGAAAGATGACACGAGGTCCCTGAGACAAGACTGTTACCACAGAGGGGGCTCTGATGGAGGAGAGGCTGGCCATCTCCCCCAGCAGGGCAGGAAGCAGGGTCTTGTCCTCAGTCACCCCTGAGCTGGCGGGCTAGGCCTGTTGGGAGAACGCTCCGCAGAGGTGGGCAGCAACAGCAACGGTGACTCAGAAGACTCCCTGCTGTAGAGTCACCCCACACCCACCTCTTAGAGCCAGGGATGTCTCTATGGTGTGTGTGTGGGGGGGGGGGCACATACCCTCACTCTCTCCGTTCTCCCCCACTACATCCAGGATGCCCTCTCCTGTGTCTAGGGCAAGTTGTGGGAGCTGCCCCTACTCCACTCTCTCAACACAGCATGTCCAGAGGATGTCTGTGACCACAGGTGGGAAACCCAGGAATCAGACCCAGGTGGCCCTGAGAACTGTCCCAAAGGACCGGGACAGATGGCAGTACAGACAGAAACACTGCTCACAGCTGTGAGTCCTGCAGACTGAACAAGGCCTGGGTCCTGGCAGACACTTTGGGCCAGAGCTGGGGCCTGGGTGCACATGGCCTGGCTCTTCACCTTGTCCCCTCTATGGCTAGGCAGCCCTCACGTTGGATGAGTGGGCTCAGAGGAGTATAGTGGGTGTCACTGGACTCCTGGCCAATGCCCCAGCACCCCCAGTCCTTCTCCAACTCATCCTGCTACCCTCAGTACACCCCAGTCCCCCCACAGCCCCGCTCCCATGTTCCCAGCATCCCCGAGTCTTCCAGAGGCCTCCCAGAAGCCCCCCAGGATCTTCCCAGCACACTCCTTGCTCTAGCTCCTCCCAGCTCCCCGCAGCCCCCTCCCCAAGGGGAGTGCCTTTCTCTTGTGGGCAGGACGGAGTTGTTGACCTTCTTTGATTTGAAGGAAGATGGCCCCAGCCCATGAGTCCAGCAGCTTCCCAGTGAGCAGACTCAGGGGCCCATATGGCCTCCCCACTGCCCAGCTCCCTCTCCCACTCCAAGTCCTTGTGACCCTCCCCCCCATTGGCCTTCCCCAACCTGTCCAGAGACACTGCGAGCCAACCAGGGAGTTCCCAGGCCAGGAAACCTAGCCAGGCAACAGCCTCTCTTTCCTCTAAGACCAGTGGTGGGCTGAGCCGGCTGGTGTCCAATGTGTGTTAAATTTCCAGGAATCCTGCAAGCTGACTGTACAACACAGCCATCACGAAAACTTAAATCCTGTAAAGGAACAATGAAGGGAACCGCATTCCAAGCAGAGGAAACAGGAGTGCTCTCGGAAGATTCACTTCCTCACGATCTGACCACATTTTGCCAGCAGCTCAAAGAGCCCTGGTGGTGCCTCGGTTAAGCGCTTGGAGATGAGCCAGAAGATGACTGACAGACGGAAATCATCCGGCAGCTCTGTGCAGTCAGTCCTAGACCAAGGAGCTGAACAAGTAGCCTTCAGAGGGGCTGTGTGGTCACTGCATCAGCAAGGTGGGCCTCACGTGGGCTCAGGGCTTCCGCCCCACCCCACAAGTGGTTCTAGGGGATTGGGGCCCAGGGCAGGCCTGGAGAACTGGGGTTCCACCTAGGGGGGCTCCCTGCACCCCCATTCCTTCCACCAGGCACCTCTGCTTCCTCCTCTCAGGGCTCCTTCTTCTGCAGGGCGTTCCCCTAGCTGCATTCCCTGCTCTGCCTGGCAGATCCTTCTAGAGTGCTGGACAGGGAGCGCTGGACTCACACAGGGTGGAGGCGCCACCTGACCAGGTTATAGGATCTTAAGTCTATAAAAGCTGAATACTGAAATGGGTTCGAATGCTACCACCCAGCCTGACGCTTAGTTGCCAGGTGCCCCAGAGGTACACCTCAAAAGGCTCCCCTGTTGGGCCCCAGGGCTTCTCCTCTCAGAACCTCACTTTCACTCTAGCGATCTGCTGCCTGGAGACCCACCAACCCCCCTGATGCTGTGCTCTTCGCCCTTCGCGTGAGGGTGATCACCCTCAGCGTGAGGGGGATCACCCTCAGCGTCCACGTGGCCGAGTGCCTGGGGACCCAGCACTGGACTAGATAGAATACAGGTACACAGGTCGGAGGGCGCAAGACGCCCGCTAGGAAGGGTCTTCCTTTATTCTCGGGCATCCCGACCCCCCTTGGCCCCAGTCCCTCTCGGTTCTACACCAGCACCAGGGCGCGGAAGGGGCGGGGCGTCGAGCAGCCGCAGCTTTGGCGCTGGGAGGGGATTCCGCACCCGGACTCCCGCTCGTAGTGGGGGCGGAAGCCGTCGCGCCCATCGCGCGAGCCTTTAATCCCGGGTTCATTTCCACGGAGGCCCTCCCCACGCAGGCCCAGCGGAGGGGGGGAGGAGGCCAGCGCCCTCCCGCCGCCTCTCCGGCGGTACAGGGGGAGGGATGGGAAAGGAAACGCAGGGAGGGGTGGGTGAGCTGAGACCCCAATACTCCGCCGCCGGGGGCGCGGAGCCGACACGGCGCGCGCGGGCCACGGGGTCCCTCTGGCGCTGGAAAGCTGCAGGCGAAGGACCCTCGGGACGCGTGGGGGCCCGCGCGGGCTCGCAGCTCTCGGCTCCGTGCGGTTCTAGGCAGAACCTCCCCAGTCTGGTGGCTGGGAGGGAGGGGGCGTGGTTTCGTAAGAAGGTCTGAATACACCGAGTCTTTCCAGCGAGGCGGGGTTGCCCAGTCCACGCACCTGGGGGTGCCCGCCGGCCTTCTGGGCTGGGCGTCCGAGCACCGACCAGCCACCGCTATGCATCGCATCGCATCGCCCTGGACAAAGCTGTGATTGAGGGATAAATGAGGAGGGTGCATCTGCAGGGCCCTCGGTCTTCAGAAGCCGGACCTTGGCCACCTGGGCCCCAGTCTGCGCCCCTGTGTTAGGGGAGATTGCACACTGCCTGAAGCGTGACTTCCCAAGGCCTTTGACTCTGAGCCCGGACGGGTTCAGTGAGCCGGTGTGTGTGTGTGTGTGTGTGTGTGTGTGTGTGTGTGTGTGTGTGTG